TTACCTAGTGCTCATTCATTTAAAAGTGAACCTCAGCTAAGCACACCCTCCAAACTCACACATAAGATTAACTCTCACAGGCATGTTGAGAGAGGCACAGTCTAAAATAAGAGGTGGAGGAGAAGCTGACAGAAATCCTTCAGCATGAACAACTACCACAGATCAGACTTTCACTATAGTTAAGAGAGCCAGAGAAGAGATCATAGTGGCTTGAAAAGATAACATTTACAGCATGTTAGTTATTTTTCTGTTGCTGTGAAGCAACACTAAGTTAGAAACACTAAGACCAAGGCAACTTAAGAAAGAAAGCTATAACTGGGGACTTGCTTACAATTTTTATAGTTTCAGAAGGTGAGTTCGCGACTACCATGGGGGGAAGGCATAGTGGCAGGCAGACAGAAGGTAATAGGGTGATATAACAGTACCTGAGCGGCTTACATGTTGAGACAAGGAGAGACACAGACACACAAAGACAGACACATAGAAGGAGGTAGAGAGGGACACAGACAGACAAACACACACACCCAACCACCCAACCCCCCTCACACACAGAGAGACAGAGACAGAACAGAGACAGAGAGGGACAGACAGAGACAGAACAGAGACAGAGAAGGAGCACTAATTGGAATGGCAGCATTCATCGCCATGGGCTTTTGAAACCTCCTCCTACAAGGCCACACTTTTACCTCATTCCTCCTTCTGTCTTCTGATTGTTCTCTTTATACTTTCTGTATTCTATAGTCCATATACTCATGCTTTGCTTTCATCTGGTACACATAATATGTAAATGAATGTATATAAATGATAATTTATATATGAATATATGACACATGAAATTAAGCATTTTGTCTTTCTTTCTCCCATTCTCCCTGTCTGTAAACTTCTTAAATGTTCCTCATATTCCTACTATACCTTCATGTCAGAGAGACAGACAGTGAGACAGACAGATTTTTACATTTTAATCCATATTTGACATGTTATAAAATAGTATTTGTTTTTCTGAATCTGGTTTATGAATTTCAACTTTTTTTCTCTTATTTTTACTGAATGAACATTGTGGCGCTAAGTTTTGATTGCCCACTTGATACAACCTACAGTCACTTGGGAAGAGTTGAAGAACTGCTTCCATCAGACTGGCCTGTGGTTTTGTCTGTGAGAGATTATCTTGATCATTGAGGAGGGAGCATCCAGCCTACTATGACAGCCACACTCCTAGGTAGGTGGGCCCTGGTGTATAAGAAAGCTAACTAAAAACCAGGGAGTTGTGGCAGCATGCCTTTAATCCCAGCACTTGGGAGGCAGAGGCCAGCCTGGTCTCCAGGGGAAGTTCCAGGGCAGCCAGGGTTACATAGTGAAGCCCTATCTCAAAAGAAACAAACAAACAAAAAACAGAAATAAAAACAAAGAAATAAAAGAAACTAATCCAACAGAACAAGCAACATTGAGTGAGCTGGCACCAGCAAGGCTCTGTGATCTCTGCTTCAGCTCTGAAGTTTCTGCTGTGACATCCCACAGTGCTGCAACCTCTCTAGAGGGTCAGCCAAGCAATAAGATGTTTTCCCTCAAGCTGCTGCTTTTGTCAGAGTGTTTTATCACAGCAACATGAACAGAACAAACACACTATCATAAACTGTGTGAAATAAATGCCAGGTGATAGTTATATAATGAGATATATATGCCTGCTTCATTTTTCTCAATGGCCAAATATTTTTTACACTATATGTCTTAGAGTTTCCAATGCTGAGATAAAACACCATGACCAAAAGCAGTGTAGTAAAGAAGGGATTTATTTCATATCATAGTTATCAGGTCACACTCCTCTGGTGAGAGAAGTAAGGGAGGGAACCTGGTTCAGGAACTAAAATCTGTCTGTCTGACTGTCTCTCTGACATGCATAGTGGGAATATGAAGAACATTTAAGAGGGTTACAGACAGGGAGAATGGGGCGTGAGGACAGTGTGAGGCTACAGAGGAATGCTGTTTACTGGCTTGCTCCCCAGAGTTTGCTCAGCCTGCTTTCTTATACATCTCAGGGCCATATGGCCAGGAGTGGCACTGGCCACAGTGAGCTGGGCCCTCCCACACTGATCATGAATCTACATAACATCCTACAGATGTGCCTACAAGCAATCTGACAGAAACCTTTCTTCAACTAAGGTGCTTTCTCCCATATAACTCTAGCCTGTGTCAAGTCAACAGAAAACTAAGTACTACACTATAGAAAACTAAAAGAAATAAAATCTTATGATGCCTGTGAAGGTTCTCTGCACAGGTTCTAATGTGATAATTCTTTGCAGCTAAATGATTTCTGAAACTGTTCTGCCACGCAGGAAGTTTAATAACGTCACTGTGCAAAAATGAGTTATACTACTGAGCAACTTAGATGATATTCTAATATTAAAAAATACAGTGATATTTCTTCAAAACATATGGCTTTATGAACATTCATTGATATAATGAAATTGAAATTGAATATATTACCTAACTTTTATGTATTTATCAATAGATATAGACTCAGACATAAATAAGCTATTCCAATATTTTATGTAAAGTACAGGGGCATTATATTGTTGAGGTACAGATTGCAGTTGCCACTTGATTTTCCTTGAAGATAGAGATAAATGTTTAGTGGGTTTTAAGTTGAGTACTATTTTGTTTACTTCTGTTGCTTCTGAGACCAAGGAAGAAGAAATTGAAAAAAGGTAAAAAGAAAGAAAAAATACAGATGCAATCCTCTGGCTTTGCTTTCATAAACTGTTCTTGTAAAATATTAACTGTGTGTGTGTGTGTTGTATACATATCCAAACATGACATATGTATATTGATCAGTTCACAGAGGTTTGTTCTCTCCTACTATGATTACAACAATGTCATCAGCCTTGGTGGCAGTACTGTTGCCTAGTGAGCCATCTCACTTTCCCCATAAACATGCCTCTTTAGTTTACTTATCTGTCTAAAGACTAGGAACTTCATTTTGTAATCATTAAAAACATTTTCCAAACCTACCAGCACATTGGAACCAGGCAACAATATTCAAATAAAACTGATACTTCTAGTCAACCTCAAAAATTATAAAAACATTGGCTTGGAGTATGTTTGAGCCTGGGACTTTTTATAGGATCTCTCTGTAATTATAATGTACAGATTATATATCTGTTACTCTATATTTTTATATTTTGGGTATAAACCCAAGTAATGACAAAAACTAGACCACTTGTGGTGGTCTGAATAAGAAATGTCCCTCATAGTACTGGGTGGGTGGTACTGTTTAGTGAGGTTTAAGTGGTAGAGCATTTAAGTTATGATACTGTGAGACTTTGAGAGTTCAAATCTCAAACCACCCAATTCACTCCCCCTGCTTTGCTTTGTGCTTCAGGTTCATGATGGAATCATAGTTTCCTGTTCCTGCTGCCATGCCTGCTGTCAGCTAACATGCTGTACCACCATTACAAACTCTAACCCTCTGGAAGCATAAAAAAACTTTATTTTGTACTTACAAAATAAAGCTTGATCATGGTGGTATATCACATCAATAGAAAAGTAAGTAAGTAAGTAAGTAAGTAATACATCCCCTTTCCTTCCTAGTGAAGTGTATAATATATACTTGCTCTTACCATTGTCTGACTTTCTGTGAAATATCTCTTCATCTACTCACTGCTCTGTGAGAAGACCCTCAGTCCACAAAGGGCCCATGCTGCCCGGGAAGGAGTCCCGTAGAGAGTCTTAAAACACTCTGAAGAGGATGATGCTGCTGAATCTCTGCATCCTGGTCCTTTGCTCTTATTTGGGAATGATATATTTATCCTTCTCTTCATCTACATTTGTACATAACTGCCTACTCTTCACAAACGCTAAGCATAAAAAAAATGAACACTTTCCTCCAATTCTTTGGGCTTTCATTTATCTTCCATGGTCACAAAAAACTTTGAAAATGAATGCCAAGTTGACCTCCAGTATGTCTTTAGCTACAGGTATGTCAGCCATGCTCCTTATGAGGGCCAGGAAAGGCATCACACCTTTTTCCTCTATAGACATCCTTATTATGTTTTAAGCTCATTTTCCATTGCTATGCTTGTGGCTAAGAAAAATATCCCTGGTCATCCTATATCTAAAATAGAACACTGCAGAAGAGCTTAAACAAACAAACAAACAAATGAATCTGGAGACTATAAATGTAAGTACACATTATTATGAAACAGGGCAGATATTTAAAACCATGGCAAAGTGGACAACCAATGAAGTTCTTTATGGCAGAGGTATAAACAGAGGTGCTCTGTCATTCCTTTGCCTCTATACTTCCAGTGTACAGCCATGTGTAAGACCAAGACCTGTCCAGACTTTTAGTATTCTCCTCTTTATATTCAGTAGGGGCTAAGCAACTCAAGAATAGGAATCTGTACATCTCTTAAGAAATCTTTAACTTCGATCCACTTAAAGTTTGTACAATGACTTTGCATAACACACACATGAAATAATTAGTGAAGATGGTTCTTAATTTAAAGGCTGTTAAACAGCTTGTAGACATCTGGTAACAAGCTGAAATGGGTCATTCAAAATTTATCTAACTAAATTAAGGGGGAAAAATGTTTCTCCTCCCAGGTTGGCATGTCACAAGATAACTAAACCGACTTAGTAGGCTTGCCTGGGAATCCTTAGCTGTCAGTGGTGAATATGCAAAGGGCCAGCAAATTAAATCAACCTGCCAAACTGTCAATTTCAAGCCTCATGACTGCATGAAAATAGCATCACTGGAAGAAATCAAGCATTGCCTTCTTTTGGGTTTCCTGGCACCTATTCAAATACTCATGCAGTTGTGGCTAATTTTGCATGCAAATTTCAGTCAATAAGCTCAGAACAAGACCTCCCAAGATATTTCAAAGGCTCTGACAGTATTTTTTCTGAATACCAAATCGACAGTAGTTGAAATTCAATCTCCATTTGCCAGTGCTTTCCAGATGCACACTGTCCCCACCACAGAGCTACGTTAATGAGAGCCTTACCTGCCTTCACTCACATCCTCCCAGCCGTCCTTGCTGAGGTTCTCCACGTGGCTCATAACCTTGATGGAGTGATTGAGAACTGAGTGGTGGCGACCCACAGAGCACTTTCTCTTGGCAGCTTTAAATTTCACCTTGGTAGTGGCTGTCTTGCAGTCACAGCGCTGGGCTCTCACATCTGTGGTAGCCATCCCAGATTTAGCTTTGTCTGTTGGGTGGTGTGCTCTCTCCTCTGGACATACCACCTCTTCTCTTTCCTCTCTCAAAGCCTTAGCTGCTGCCACTTGTCTCCTCAGGGTAGTGACCTCCCTCTCCAGAGCAGTGATCTTTGTTTGAAGCTCACTTTTGTCATGTTCTACATCTTTGCTTACCCTCAGTAGTTGCTCTAGCTCCTTTTCTCTCGCCTCTGAGTCTTCTTGATAGTGTTTTAAGTGGGATTTCAGGAAATCATTGTCTTTCTTTAATTTCTTACTCTCTTCTTTTAATTTTCTTGAGTTTTTCTCAAAAGACTTTAGCCGATTTTCCAACTCGATGACCTAAGCAAGAAAGTTTAATCACTCCTTTAAAATGTAAAACCATAATCTACATAATTTTAAATATCATTTCTAACTGATAAGTTCCACTTAGCACAAGGACAAAATGAATCTCCGGCACTTACATTCTAAATAACTCTAAGGTGATGTGGATGGACCCATTCAGAAATGCAGTAATGCATCTGCTGAATAAAGGACAGATGGTAAGGAAAGGTAAAGTCCTACACAAAGTGATCAGCGCTAAGGACGTCAACGAGCTGCAGGGTCTTCTCAGATTGTGGGTACTGTGGTTATACATTCTAACTGTGAAAGGAAATATTTTCAGAGAAAAGCTGTTTATGGGATAGGCTAAAAGTAAGCTCATGGAGAAACGTATTACTAGTAAAGAATATTTCTTTAACATTTGACGAGCATGGTGAGATGTGGAGACAAATTAAATGACCTGCAACAGTTTTATTTCTAAATAAGAAAAGTTCCATTTTAATTCTCATATGATCCTTATTTCATACAATAAAATGTTTTGCAAAAATCATGTTCAATAATATAGAAGTACAAGAATTTGAAGGTTGCTTATAAATGAAACATTTCTATTTATTTCAATAAATATTTCTCCTGATATAGGACACAGTTATGGTCAAAGACCTCCAGGCTCCATGCACCAGTAGCCACTAGAAAGACACATGTGCACACCTAAAATAATACGTGATATTATGAAAATGCTGCACGTGAACATCCAGGACAGACTATCACAAGCCTCTTACAGGATGCTTGGAACTAGAATTTAAAAAATAACAATAGACTATTTTTCAAACTAGTTTTAAAAGTAAAACTGAAACAGAAACACAAAAAGTGCCTTTGCAAAGAAGCACTGATCCTTCATTTGAGCCCACAAAACAACTAGACACAGAAGAGATAGCATGTATGTCTTAGTTAAGCACCTTTACGTTGGCTCAAGAAACAGAGAGGAGTTGTTAGCTCTAACCTTAGTTATTGAAGCATCTAGAATTTCACAAAGAGCCTAAGGGCCGACAGCTCTACACCTCCAAATGAGGGTAGTTATGTATGAGGCCAAAAGGCTGTATCCTCAAGGAGTGACATATTAACAAGTTAACACTTCACTGGACCACTGTGATAATAGCTCTAAGCTGAAATAATAATGGGCAGAACCATACCTTGACTAAGACTGATTAATTTACACCTCTATGTTAAGCTAAACTTAAAGTTCATGTCAGTACATATATTACGGACTATAGGTATAAGCTGTAACTGAAGCCCTTTATTCATTCATTTTCTTAATGTGTCTTTGGGGCTTGAGAGATAGCTTAGTCAATAAAGCACTCAAGAGGATCTGAGTTTGGTTCCCAGAACACACACACAGACACACACAGACACACACAGACACTCACACACACACAGAGAGAGAGAGAGAGAGAGAGAGAGAGAGAGAGAGAGAGAGAGAGA